TGTGTGTGTGTGTGTGTGTGTGTGTGTGTGTAGCAGCAGGAGGCTCAAGGGGGCTAGAGGCAGAGATGGGAAGGCAGGGGAGGGAAAGAGTGAGCCTGTCTCTGTGACCAAGCTGATAGCCAAGGAGGCCAAGCCTGCATTTCATTTCCAGGTATTCCCAGGGGCTCTGTACATCCAGCTGTGAGCCCCCCCACATCAGAGCTGAGGCTTAGCCCCTTGCTGGCTTCCTGGAGTTAGGAATCAGATTGCACTGGAAATCTGGGCTGTCTCAGAGCAGATACAACTGAGACACTCAGCATCAGGGTGGACAAAGAAAAGCCACTCAGGGAAGAGAGATCCTGGGCAAGGGAAGTGAGCAGGGGATCTGAAAGCAGGGAGGAGGCAAGGGGAGGAGCCTGGGTAGGTCCTGAGGGGTAAAAGGAGATCCTGTTTCTTCTCAGCAGGACCCAGGTGGAAGTGGCTTCAGCTCAGAACCTGCAGAGGGCACAGGTGCCTCAAGAGTCCCAGACCAGGGTCAGAGGGGGTGGCATGGTGGAGGGGGCGCTGGTTTGATTCTAAACATACATCTAGCACCACGACAAAAGACCTCCACTGCACTACTTCACAAGGAGATGGGGACACAGTGGCCACAGCATGGCTCCATGTATAGCCTCTGGCCCCGAGAGGCAGGCGGGGTAGACAGATGCAGATACACACACACACACACACACACACACACACACACACACACACACACACAGATATATGCATGTGTGTGTGTGTATATATATATATATAACTCTGATTCATTATACAAAGTAGGGGAAGGAGGAAAGGAAGAGGGAACCCTGCTTGGTCACTACTGTGAATGTGGCTCAAGAACCCATCCCATGCCCTGGCCCTGCCTCCGGGAGGGTGTGGAGGGCTCACATCTCATTGGAGTACGTGTAGCTGGGGGTGGTGGAATACTGGGGCTGTGGCTGGCTCATGGCACCCTGGGCTGCCCCCATGGCCGCATTCTGAGCTGCCTGCTGCACATGGGGGTTCTTCCATGCACCCGTGGTCCACTCCTCCTGTGCTTTGCTGAAACTCCCTCCGCTGCCCCGATAGAATTTATGAACCTGCAGGAGGAGAAGCATAAGAAGGGCTTATCAGGCCAGGTGTGGTGGTACACGTCTGCGATCTGAGCACTTGGGAGGCAGGAGGATTATCATGAGTTTGAGGTCAGCCTGGGCTACATAGTGAGTTTAAAGTGACCCTGAACTACACAGAAAGACCCTGCCTTAAAAAAAAAAAAAAAAAAAAAAAAAAAAAAAAAGGCAGATTATCTGGGTGTGGTGGTGCACACCTGTGATTCCAGCACTCAGGAGGCTGAAGCACAATGATCACTTGAGTTGAGGCTAGTCTGAGATACATATTTGAAGGCCAGCCTGGACTAGGTAGCTATTCCCTCACTCAAAAAACTTAAAAAAAGAAGTGTCCACCGAAGGGAAGAGGCAGCCCATTGCCCCTCTGGGAAATAGATGGGATCCATCTATAAAACAGCCCTCCTTCCACGCCCACCCACCATGCAGGTACAGCAGAGTCTGGCAGGTAACTCCAGAAGGACTGACCTGGAGGATCAAGAATTGTGTTGGCTCGCAGTCCCATTCCAAGCCACCCACTCCCCTCTGGGTGGTCACATACCATGCTGAGGGCGATGAAGGAGAAGACAGCCATGACCGTGAACATGATGGTAGGGATAAGCATGACCACGGCAGAGCCGACGTTTGTCCCAAAGAAGGAGATAGTGGCAATCCAGCCGCTGTGGGGAAAGGCCAGCATGGGCGATGGGGGCATGGGAGACCCAGGAGCCCCCACTACCAAAACCACCCTGCTGCTCCCAGACTCCCAGGAGGAGCTGTGTCACTGACACCCAAGGCTGGCCAGTGACTCAGGAAGGCCCCTCTCCAGATTTTCCTGGAGTTTTTGACACCCCCAACCACCCAGGAGCCACTGCTTAGCTCCTATTTCCCTGGGATACTACCCCCAATCCTCACTTGTCCAGGAATCAGCCACTTTTGTCCCCCAGGCCAGACAGCTCAGTACCTTACACTCCCACACTGCCACCCCTACCAGTCCAGGCTGACCCCACTTCTTACCAGACGCCCCAGCCTGGGATGCCCACAGCCTGGATAATGCTGATGACCAGCTGCGCCATGAAGGTGAAGAAGAATGCCATGAAGCTGAAGGAGCTGTCGGTTCTGCACAGAGAAGACAGTTTCTGGCACCTGGAAGAGGGCTAGGGCTTCCCTACCTTCAAGGACCCCAGTCCCTTCCAAGGGTGAAGTGTATAAGGGACAGAAGACACTCAGATATCTTAATTAAGAGTCCAGAGTGGAACTCCCTCATCCATAGGCCTTTAGAGGCATCCGTGGGCTGGCTGTATGAGCAACACTGCATAGAGTGGGGCCTCTTTGGACATGGGGCACAGATGGCCCCACCATGGCAGAAACAAAAAGCTCCATTACTAAGGGGATGGACTGCTCAGGGGCACCAAACCAGCTACCTCCATGGGGACATGGATGGATAGTCCCATAGACTCAGAGAGAGCGAATCCCTTTGGCACTAGAATGGATACCTTATTGGCACGAGGACAGTAGCTAATTGGCACATACACAGATAGTCCTGCTGGCAAAGAGATTTAAGGCCCCATTAGCATGGAGATAGACACTGTGCTAGCATCAAGACAGACAGCCCTGGGCCAGAGATTTAGCTCAGTGGTTCCACTGCCTGCCTCACAAGTGCGAGGTTCTAAGTTCAATTCCTGATACAAAAAAAAAAAAAGAAAAAAGACAGCCTTGTTGATACAATCAGTCTCACTGGCACACACCTTGAAAGTCCCTTTTGGCACTGGACTGGCACTCATGGCACCAGGACAGCTACCCCAGTGACACATGTATGGTGCTCCCTTTGGCACAGAATCAGATAATGTCATTAGCACATGAATGGTGTCAGTGGTTCCTGGCTTGTTCCTTCCCTGGGCAGCTAAGCTGATGATCTTGTTGTACTGACCAACTGGTATAAGGATGGGAAGCTCCACACCAGGAGAACCCACAGGACAAGTGAATATATGGGTTCCCAAGGAAAGCTGGTCAGAGAACAAAAAATGCCTGGTCTCTATGCAGACCGTACCGCAGGGAGAGGAAGGGGGGAAGGAACTACGAGGAAGGTCCCAGCTCTCAGCCCTCTTGTTGAGTCAGGAGCTCCCAGGAAGCTCACACCCCAGCAGGCAGTGGGAACCAAGATATATGAGAGAAAGTAAGGCTGAAGTAGGACAAAAACAGAGAGAGAGAGAGAGAGAGAGAGCGAGAGAGAGGAGCTGGGCATGGTACACATGCCTGTAACCCCGAAACTCTGAGACTAAGGCAAGAAGATCACAAGTTCACAAGTTCAAGCCCAGCCTGGGCAATTTAGCAACTTAATAAGACCTTGTCTTAAAAAGAAAAAAAAAGAAAAATGAACGGCTGGGGATGTAGCTCAGTGCAAAGGCTCTGGGTTCAGTCTGCAATCTTAAAAAAAAAGGAAAGACAGAAAAAAGAGCTATAGAGAAGAAATGGGGGAGGTGGACACAAAGAGACAGTGCTAGGAGTTGATCAGTGCCAACCACTTACTTGAAGGCCTTGTAAATGGGCCGAAACCAGCAGACGTAGGAGCAGGGCGTGAAGAGGATGAGCCAGAGAAAGGCCAGGCCAAAGTTGGTGGCTCCCCCGCCTCCGATCAGCCACGCGAGACAGCCCACCAGGTTCACGGCCAGCGTGACGCTGTTCACTGCAGACCCATGAGCACACACAGAGAGAGAAACACACCAGACACACACACATGTGCACACACACACACACACACACACACACACACAGAGAGCCATAATTCAAACACAGACCCACAATCAAACACAAGCCACAGCAGACAGGTAGAGATGCACACACACACAAATTACACACACATGCAAACCACATTTATTGATTCACACCCACACAAAAAAGCCACATATCAATAAATGCATACACAGACATGCAAGACACACACACACACACACACACGCACATATGCACGTGTGCGCACACACACACACGGAGTACAGATGTAAGAAAGCAAGCTGGGAACCCAGACCAAAGCCCACTGCCCCACACCCACTCCCAGAGACCTGGGAAACATGGAGAATAAAGAATGTCAGAGCTGGAGCCCAGAGCAGGGCCCAGCAGACCCCTTTGGAGGCCTGGCTTCAGAGTGGGAGAAATAATCTTGCCCTGGTGGAAAGGCCTGGGGACTGTGATGCAGCTCAGGGCAGTGTACATGCTTAGTAGACACCAGGCCCTGGGTTCTGGCTGTGTGCACAGAGAGGTTTTGGTTCTGTGCCCTACCAGGCCCACAGCAACCACAAGGAAATGCATCTTACACCTCCTCTTGCAAGGCTGGGCAGGGAAAGGGAGAAGGCAAAAGGCCTTGTGGAAATGTCCCTTCATTCATGCCACCTGCTCTGTACTTCTGTGGGATAGCAGTAGTGGCCTGGACCTCAGTCTTTACCATTCTTTAGATGACAATCACACCTCCTCCTCGAAGCCCCTTTACTCCTCCTGTCCTCTGAGCTCCTACAGACCTGGGCTGCACACATGGTCACCTCAATACAAACCCCAGTCCACCAACCAGACCAGAGGCTCCCTACGGATGTGACCCAGGTTCCCTAGGGAACACAGTGTCACTAAGTCCCAGCCAGCAAGGGGCCCCAGGAATGCCTCATGTCACATGCTGGCACTGCCCCGTGCTTAACCCTTAAAGCCCTGCTTTGTACACAACAGCAGGCCGCAGACAGGTGGCATCTGCCTCAATAGAGACCTTCAGCATCTCAGGGCTGACACATTCCATCAAGCTGGAGCTCTGGCAGGTGCCCAGTGAGGACTTAGGAGATATTTATAGGTCTTAAATCCAGCTCTGGGTGAGATCTCCCTGGAGCTGGGGTCCCAGGAGCCTGGGGTCAGGGAGAAAGAAATCTCCCTAAATGGGGCCTAGCATGACCACTGCACAGGTGCGCCCATCTTGGGGCCCTCCGGACATATATTAATGCTTCTTTCTGTGTGATAAGCTCTGTTTCCTCCATCCTTATCACTGCTCCAAAATCTCCTAGAGCCTTGATGTTATCACTGATTTATTGAAAAAGACACCAAGTAACACACTGTCGCATGGCTAACCTCCCTTGCCAGCTCCTCTCTCCAGCTCAGAGTCCCAGTGTCCCCACCACAGTTACTCTACTTCCTCTAGAATGGACTCCATGGACTCGGTTGCTCCTTCTCCAGCCACCTGCTGCTTCTATCTCCACTCTGGCCCCTGTCCAATTTGACATCCATGGTTCATTATCTCACTGCCTGCCTCCCTCCCTCCCTCCCCTGCTATGTCTTCCAGCTGTGCATACCCTGAAAGAACACAGCTCCCATCTGACCTGAGCTCAATGTCCCCAGGAAGAAAGCATATATAGGGAAGCCCAACAAGACTATAAATTCACCAGTCAGCCTCAAGCAGCCCCTGTGCGTGACCAGAAACCTTAGGGGCCAGGTTTCCTTAGAGAGTGTCCTGCCTCTGCCACATGCATGCTCTGAGCCGCCCCACCTAAGACTGTCCCCACTCCTACATCACACTGACAGGTAAAAGAATGGAAGCCTTTAGAGGTAATCTCCATATCTTCCTCCCAACATTCACAGATGCTCTATACCTGCCCTAGCCCATCTCTCCTGTCCACACCAGGACATCACTTCTTCACTCAAAGGCTGGGAGTTTGTGTGCTGGTCCTCTGTTCTTTCTATCATACCACAAAGGGCCTGCTATGAAGACAGCCTTTGTCACCACCAGATACAATCTTGGTCCCAGGGTGGCAGCTACATGCACATCTGACTCAATGCCCCCAAAAGGGAACAGAGCCCAACTGCAGTAGCACAGCAGGTATCTGGGGCTGGCACCCTGCAGAGCCAGCCTGCCTGTCCACACTCACCTGCCTAAGCAACAAATTCTGAGCAGCTGGACACAGCCAACCAAGTCCCATTGTCCATAATGATACCTTTCCTACCAATCTGCCACCGACTATCAGAAACAGGGCCCTCACACTCTCCCTAGCATCCTAGACCACTGGGTCCAGGCTCCAAGAAGTACAGACTACCAGAGCCCCTGGGAGTGATATCAGTCACCAAGCCAACACTCCCTGCCCACAGCGGGGAACTTGCTGTTTGTTTTCTTTTGAGACAGGGGTCTCAATATGTAGTTCAGGCTGGCCTTGAACTCATTATGTAGCACAGGCTGGCCTCGAACTTGTGAACCTCCTGCCTCTACCTCTGGAGTGCTGGGATTACAGGTATGCACCACCACGCCTGGCTGGAAGCTGCGGCTTGGGAAGTGGCATGGTCAGATACACTGGCTCCCTTGCCTCCCAACTCCCAGCTGAATGTTCCTTTCTTTCAACAACCTCCTAGGAAAAGCAAGAAAAAAGAGGCTTCGAGAGAAGGACTCTCCTCCAAGTCCAGAATCCTGAGGTCATGCAGTCATCAGAGGCTCCCTGGAAAATTACTCCAGCAGAAGGGGAAGGGAGCATAAAGAGAGGAGTTACACTACCAAAAAAGCCCCCCAATCCAGAGGCTCCTTGAATGAGAGAGAAATGATGGAGGGAGAAACTGAGGCCCAGCCTGGGAGCTGGCCCCTGAAAGGAGCCTGTTGGGAACCAAGTAGGGAAAGATTTTCCCATCCATGGAGACACCACACATGAGACTGAAGGACAGCCAACCTGTGTCCCTGCCCAGTACCCAGCACCCTGTCCTCCACCTCCCCAGCCTTGCTAGCCCCGCACTCACACATCCAGAGGTAGTACAGGCGCTTGGTCATACTGAGATGCTGTGGTGGGATGTCGGCCTCAAAGTCTTGGTAGAAACACGGCTTCAGCGGGATAAACTTGGGCAGCGGCGGGAAGTTGTTCACCTTCTCTGTAGGCCAGGCACACTTGAGGGGTCACCAAGAGGCTCCGTTCCCACTGTCCCCTGCCCCCCCAGCCTCCCCAACATCACCCAGCTGTCCCCATGTTAGTGGGTCTGCCAAAATGACCCCAAGTAACCAAGTTCCTGAGTAGACACAAGGCTGATGGACACACTGGGGTGAGGCAGCCTCCCTCAGGGGCCAGATTCAGGAAGAGGAAGTGGGATGAGTGAGCCTGAAGATGGGGACCCAGCCTCCACCCAACACTCATTCATTCAATTCATTCATTCAAGCCACTGTCCCCTCCAGTCCTCAGCTTACCCAGTAGGATGGGATCTAGATAGAACATCCCCAAGTTCCTTCCATCCCTAGCATCTGTGTTCTCTGAGCCTTAGAAACCAGGTAACTTGGGACCCACAGGGAACAGAACCCAGAGAGGGGGACACAGGGAAAGGAACAGGAAGACAAGGACATCAGGATGCTCAATCCTGGTCTCCTACATCAGAGACCTGACAAAAGATGAGACAGGGCCACGCTGAGGCTTCGGTGGGGAGTAGGGAACAGCTGAGGACAAGACAGAAAGAGCCGCCTCCAGAGATTAGAGAAGGTAGGGACAAGAAAGAGGGCCACCTCCCAGCTCACATTCCTGTCTTGCCTACGTGGCCCATCCCTCCTTACCTGCCATGGTGGCACAGCTGGCCAGCGGCCCGCCCAAGCCTCTGTTCTGAACTGTAGGAAGGAAAAGCCAGAGAGGGTGAGGATCGGGGACCCATCCTTCTCTAAGCCCCAGGGGGGCTGCAAGCTCCTGAGACAGCACCTAGCTCCCTGGCACCGAGACCCCGGCAACGCAGCTCCTGCCCACAGGCCACCTGCGCACCTGCCACCTACTTCCGGGAATTCCCACCCTTTGCCTCAAGGCACAGAGTCCATGCTCAGAAGCCAGCCAGGATAGAAAGGGAATTCGAGGCAGAGTGGACCCTTGCAGGGTAAGCCAAGGGACAATGAGGGCCCAGACTCCTAAGGAGATCTCCCCCTCCCCCTGCATAAGCTCCCTCATCAGACTTATCTGCCAGGCAAGGAGAATGGGCAGAGCAAGCAGTGTGGACCATGCCCTGCACAGGAAGCAGTTGGTAACCCCGGTGATTCATAACCTGCTACCTATCATATTAAAAAAAAAAAGTAGAAAGCTTTGTGCCCGGGGTGGGGCCTGACTGGAGGCAGGCCCTGGGATCCAGAAACACCTGCGCTGTCACACAGCACCCACAGTTTTTGTGCCTGCTCAGTGTTTCTCTCTGCCAGACCTGATGAGCAGAGTCTGAGGTGTCCTCTTGCTGGGTCTCCCTGGGTAGTTCAGTGGCTGCCACAACCTGGGCTATGGCCTGGTGCTCTGTCATGGGGCCCCAGGCCATGCCCATGGCCACCACCCCCATCATCAGGTCAGTCAGAAGTTGGTTCTCTAGGAGACCAGAGCCGGATACGTTCTAGTTGGGAATAACCATGCAGAAACAAAGTATAGCATCTTGAAAATCGATAGAACAGAACCAAAAAGATTTGGTCAGAATTGATGACAGGCATGTATATATACTCAATAAGAAGTACTGAACTTCTTGGCCACATGGGTCTTGGAAATAGTATAAAGATAAGACAGAAAGGAGGCTCTAGTTATTTCAAGCTGTCTCAGCATTTTGTGTCGTGGATTTGTCAGGTTTTTAGAAGGCTATTTATATTGTGCTAATAACTAAAAGGAGGAAGTGGAAGATATTGGAGGCCATGCAATATATAAAATAGAAGATACAAATATGATCTATATACTGAATGATTTTGCAAGGATTACTCATCCTGATGAAGCTTGATATCTGCAAATCTTTTAAAGTGTAGACCTCTCTAGCAATTTTTACTTTAAAGTTATGATTTCTCCCACTCACTTCAATATCATCTTACTGTATTTCAAATGCCCCTGGAAATGTTAAAATCAGAAACAATCCAGACTTGTCAGGAGTTTTGACATCTTTGAAGATGAAGGATTAATTACACTGTGGTAGTAGTATTTTGGGGATCTGTAGTAAACCTTATATGAAGTATGTGTGGAATAGTTGACTTCTGGATATAACTAAAAATACTGTGATCCTCCTGCCTCAGTCTCCCGAGTGCTGGGATTACGGGCATGTGCCACCACGCCTGGCTGGAAGTTTTAGGTTTTTTTTTTTTGTTTTTTTTTTAATTATGTCTATTTTTTTTTCCTCTCATTGAGTTTATTGGTACATTTTACATATACAGTACAGTTACATTCATCATTCGATCATTGGGATCTTGTACCTTTACATGACAGTTTTTTTTTTGTTGTTTTTTTTTTGAGACAGGGTCTCACTATGTAGTTGAGACTGACCTGGAATTCACTGTATAGCCTAGGTTGGTCTTGAATACACAGTGATCCTCCTGCCTCAGCCTCCCGAGTGCTGGAATTACAGGAGTGCACCACCACGCCCGGTACACATGCTATTTTATATTCTGGTTTTCTTCAACTCAGCAAAGTCTTAATAAAAATTCTTGATGTTAATGAATACAGATCTGGATCATCTTTCCAATGACTGGTCAACTGGGTTCACAATGTCCCTGGCCCTGCAGTGGTCAGGTAAGGCGTGGGCTGATATGGCCACTAAAAGGTCACAGCTTCAGAAAAATAGTGCAGTAGAAGCCAAACTGCTGAGAAATTAGAAAAATATGAGGGAAGCCTGATGCAATGGTATAGGCCTGAAAACCTAGCACCCTGGGAAGCTGAGGCAGGAAGATGACAAGGTGAAGCCCAGCCTGGGCAACTTAGTCACTTGGTGAGTCCTGTTTCAAAATATAAAAATAAAAAGGAGCTGGAGATACAGCTCAGTGTGAAGGTCCTTGGTTCAATCCCCAACACTGCAAAAACAAACAAAACAACAAAACAAAATAACAAAGAAGAAGAAAAAGGAACAAGTCTAGAACTTTAGAATTTCAAAAAGCTTGGCTAAAATTCTCTCTCTCTCTCTCTCTCTCTCTCTCTCTCTCTCTCTCTCGCGCACACACACACACACACACACACACACACACACACACACACGACTCACAGGCAGAATCAGCAACAACACCAAATCACCAGACACCAAAAGACTAAGTAGTGCCTTGATGGTGAGATAAATTATTTTGTTTTTTATCTTTACTTCCTAAAATTCCTGTGATGGTAACACACCTTTTGTAGTGAAGCAAAGTTGTAGGTTTACAAACACAGCAGCTGGAGGACTCCAAGTTACAAAGGCTTTTCCCAGGACAGCAGACCAGTAAATTTTAGTTATTTTCACTGCATTTCTAGCCAGTTCTGTCCAGACTGAAAATCTCAGCTTGACCTTTGACTTTCCTTCTGCTCTCCCTCCCTCTGATGCTCAGTCCTCAAGTCCTCCCTATTATTTTGTCTTGCCAACAAAACTGCTAGGCAACTAACACCAGGATTGAGTCTATAGTCTTTGAGGTCTCTTAAAATTTTTGTATCAGAAAAAAAAAAATTTTGTTATTAGCTAGTGTAGTGGTACACACCTGTAATCCCAGCACTTAGGAGGATGAGGCAGAAGCATCACTGCAAGTTCAAAGCCAGCGTGGGCTACATAGTGAGTTCAAGTCCAGCCTAAGCTACATAGCAAGACCCTGTCTCAAAAAGCAAAAAACAGGCCAGGGATTTAGCTCAGTGGTGCCATGCCTGCCTTGTAAGCACAAGGTCCTGAGTTTGCTCTGGGGGTGGGGGGTGGGGCACAGTGATAAAACCAAATGCCTCCTAAAATTCCCAACTCCCCCAAAGTCAATCCATTGGGAATCAATGGAAAAGAATACAAAAGCCAAATAGCTGAATTATTTTAAAGAATAAGAAAGGAGCCGGGCATGGTGGCACACACCTGTAATCCCAGCACTTGGGAGGCTGAAGCAGGAGGATCACTGTGAGTTCAAGACCAACCTGGGCTACATAGTGAGTTCTAGGTCAGTCTCAACTACATAGTGAGACCCTGTCTCAAGAAACCAAAAAAAAAAAAAAGAAAAGAAAAGAAAAAATAAGAAAGGAGATTAAAAAAAATCAATGATGTGCTTGGTGGACTCACAGAAGATGTAACTAATCAGATAATGGAAGTAATTAAAAAAATGATCAGGGAGCTTATAGAAAACATTAATAAAAAGCTAGCTGAAAAAAATGAGGGCCGGGGATTTGGCTTAGTGTTTCTGCCACCTGTCTCACAAGCACAAGGGCCTGAGTTTGATCCGTGGTACCAAAAAAAAAAAAAAAGAGAGAGAGAGAACCAAGATCTGTTGTGTAAAGGTACAAGATCCCAATGATGAATGTAACTATACTGTATACTTCAAAAAGTACCAATAAACTCAATTAAAAAAAAATAAAGTTAAACAAAGTGACCCAAAACATAAATGGCCAGTTTAGCAAAGAATAAGAATCCACTGAACTGAAATCCAAACAGAAAATCAGGAGAGGGCCAGGGATTTAGCTCAGTGATGCCACTGCCTGCTTTGCAAGTGCAAGGTTCCAAATTTGATCCCAGTACCAAAAATAAATTTTAAAAAAATCAGATTAAAAATTATGCTGAAAGCCAGGTGTGGTGGCACATACCTGTAATCCCAGCACTCAAGAGGCTGAGGCAGGAGGATCCCTGTGAGTTCCAGACCAGCCTGGGCTACATAGTGAGTTCCAGGTCAGTCTCAACTACACTATCTCAAAAAAAACCCAAAATAAATAAAGTCAAATTATGAGTGGAAAGTCATCCCCATTTTGTGAGGGAGTGGAACATTAATTAGATAGTTGAAGACATCAGTGGGTGAATTTGGATGGATCACACGTCTGCTCCTGGTTTGTTAACTATGCTGCAGTCGTTCCAATATATACGGCATAAATAAATTGAATGTGCAAGATTTTAAAAAATCAAGTTGTTTTCAGTGCTGGCATGGCATGACGAGCATATTTATAAGCATTGGAGAGGCTGCAGGTCTGGCAGAAGGGGAGGTAAGTGCCAGCCATGGGACCTTGGGAGACAGGAAGGAGCAGCATCTACAGCTCAGAGGAGGGGGTACACACTGAACAAGGTGCCTCTGCTGGGATTTCAGAAGCAGAAACATGTGCTCCCCCTGCCACACATGCAGAACAACCGCCCTCTCGTGAGTAAAGGACTCTGGCAGAGTGGTCTCATCTGGGGCTCTGGGAAACAGCAAGTTTCTCCAAGTGATGGAGGGATGACCTGGGCGGGAGACTGTGCTTGAAGCAGCACCAGGCTGCCCTGGCCTGTGCTGGTCTCTGGGAGCCTGGTACATCTGAAGTGGGGAACCTCGAGGCGGGGGCTGCTGTGGGGTGGAACAATCACAGCAGTTGAGGGCATGGTCAGGAAGGGCCAGAAGGGGCAATGTGTATGGGATGCAGAAAGTGGAGATGTCGGGGCTGGAGGTCTCTGTGAGGTCACAGACAGGTAAAACAGGAGCTACATGGCGGCCAGAGAAGGAGACTGGGGTTGGTGGCCATGCACCAAAGATGACCAGACTCTGATGTGGCTGGTAGGGAGCAGGGAGGGGAGGAGCCCCTATGTGGCAGGAGCCTCACAGGACCTACTCCCAGAGCCCCAGCTCCAGCCAGACTCCTGGTCCTGGGCCCAGGCTGTCTCAGAGGTGACCCCAGGCACAGAGAAGTCAGAGCAGCCAAGTGTAGATGAACACAGAGATTCCATCTTACTCCGGAGAGCATGGCTGTCATCAAAAAATCAGTAACAACAAATACTGGCAAGGATGCAGGGAAAAAGGGATCATTCTACATTGTTGATAGGAATGTAAACCAGTACAACAACTATGGAAATCAGTATGGAGGGTCCTCAATAAATTAAAAATAGAAATTTCATTCGACCCAGATATAGTTATCTTCCCAAAAGAGTTAAAGACATCATACTGCAGTGATCCATGCATACTACCATTTATAGCAGCACAGCTCATGATAGCTAAATCTTGAAAGCAGCCTATATGTCCATCAAGAGATGAATGGATAAAGAAAATGAAGTGTTTATATAAATGAGGACTACTGAGCCATAAAGGATAAACCGCAGTCATTTGTAGGGAAATGGATGCATCTTGAGGCCATGATGTTAAATAAAATAAATCAGAAACACAAGCTTTAATAGCACATGGCTTCTTTTACATGAGAAACTCAAAGCATAAATTAAAGAGCAAACTAGAAGATAGATAATAGGAAACAAGGAGAGAGATCTGCTACAAAAGGAAAGGGACCAAGAGATGGAGACAGATGGGAGGGAGGGTGAGAGAAGGGGACACAAAGAGGATTAAGATGTGTCATGTACCTATCCCAGCTTTCCACATGAAGGTAATCAGTATATATGCAAACACAAGCTCATAAAAATTAAAAAATTTTTGTGAAAAAAGGAAAAAATGGAAACAAAGTCTTTGTAAATAGGAAAGGGTGAAGGGAGTGAAGGGAGGGCAGGAGTATGGGGAAAAAAATAAGAACCAAGACCTATCATGTAAAGGTACAAGATCCCAATGATAAATGTAACTATCGTTTGCTTTAAATGTACCAACAAACTTAACGGGGGAAAAAATAAAATAAATAAATAAATTTGTACATGTGGATGATTCAGAGAAGAAGGTAGGGCCTAAGATAAAGCTGCCTGCTTTCCTATGAAGGTTAGGACAGAGAGAATTTAGGGACTGGGAGAGCTGGAGCAGGCTAGGGTCTCAGAATGGAAGGCTCTGGGCATTGGGGCCTTTTACTTGCAGCGGGTAGGGAGCAGGGTAGGGAGGTGACAGCCAACTCTAACTTTTTTTTTGAAGGAAGGTCTTGCTTTGTAGTTCAGGCTGGCTTCCAACTTGCAGTGATCCTCCTGCCTCAGCTTCCTCAGCTTCCCTGAATCCTGGGATTACAGGTGAATACTGCCTCGCCCAGCAACCCATCTCTGACCTCCGCAATCAAAGTTCTCAGGCTGCAAAACACAAGTAGCAGCCAGGTATGGTGGAACACACCAGTAATACCATCACTCAGGAGGCTGAGGCAGGAGGATCACTGCAAGTTCAAGGCTAGCCTGGGCTACATAGTAAGCTCAAGACTGGCCTGAACTGTATATCGAGACCCTGTTTCAAAGAAAACAAAACAAAACAAAACAAAAAAAAGGAAGAAAAAACAAGTGACAATTTGCTCCTTAATTGAGAATCATTATAATGAGTAAGGGGTGCTACACATCTCCCTGAAAGTATGGCTTATAGAAACATCTCTTTTTTTTGAGAAAGGGTCTCATTATGTAGTTGAGACTGACCTGGAACTCACAATGTAGGCCAGGCTGGTCTCGAACTCAGAGCGATCCTCCTACCTCAGCCTCCCCAGTGCTAGGATTACAGGCATGCGCCACCACGCCCAGCTTGGAAACATCTCTTATCATCAATAACTTAGCACATACAACCTCACCCTTGTTCAGGAAACCCCAACTATGTTTTATCCCATCCCTTATGGGAAGCTGGGAAAACAGAAGGTGCTACAGAAGAAGAATGAGGTCCAAGTAGAGTCAAGTCTGGCCACAGGTCAGTGCAGAGACTAGGGCTGGCTCCAAGGCCCCCAGCTCCCTGTCATGAACCTCTCATCCCTGGCACAGAAAGGGTCACTTTCTATCTGCTTGCCAGAGCCTACCTGCTAAGATGGGGGCTTCCCCCTTCTGCCACCTCTGGTCCCGTCATCTTCTTCCCAGCCCCATCACAGCCCTGAAGTCTGGGGCTATGACTCATCCTCAGAAAACAGCAGGCACCAGGCTGTGCCAGCACTCTCTTCTTGATGCCTCCTCAGTAGCCTCCTACAAATCCTGTGCCTGGTATTCAAGGCTTTGTGCCAGGCAGCTACAAATCTCCTTCCCTGCCACCCTTGGTTTCTCTGCCATGGGCTGATTTGCTTCCTACATCCCTAGCCCCATGCAGAAGATCCTGTCTGCCTCTGTCTGTTTATAGTGTCCCAAACCAGCAGCCTCTAAAAGCTAGCCTTTCCTCACGTCCTCTCTCTTCCTGGAAGCCTTTCTAGACAGCCCTGCTCTGCAGCCCACTGCACCAGTTCTGAACCACTTGCTGGGCACTTAGTAGTCACCCATCCTTAGCCAGACTCATACCCATTCCCTCACAGATGGCCTCCAATGGGTTCCATGGAGCACAGTCAATTCGTTTTCAGTAATGACTGAAAACTTGGACATTGTCCCAAGGGTGGGGTGGGGAAACTGATGCCCTCCCCCTAACAGGAAAAGGTCACAGTATCTGTCAATCACACTGATCACACTACCTCCAGGAAACTCTCAGGGTCTCCAGGCTGCCAGCAGGACAGGAAGTGCAGCCTGCAGAGGAAGTGCTACAGGCAGAGGGCAGAGGGAAAAGGAAGAGAACTTGGGAGGAAAAGAAGCTTTCTTGAGGGAGGTTGCTACTTGGTCTTGTCATTCTGTCCCTAAAGAGAGGTGCTGGCAGAAAGATGTCCAGAGAGGGAAACTGTTCAGTGTTCAGAGGTATCCAGCAAGCAAAGGACCAAAGAAACCAGCATCAAGACCCAGGCCCTTACCAGGACTTCCCTCCAGGATCCCACTGGCTTCATGGCCATGCTAGGCTAAGAGGTCCTTTCTCTGGGGCTATTTGGCCACAATGGGCCTCTCCACAGGGCAGGCTTTGCTCTCAGACTCACTGGGCTCTCAGACTCACTGGAACTAATCTAGCAACCCCACAGAGCCCCAAATAAGACCTTTCTGTCAGTCACACCCCTGCCAGAACCATGTCCCTCTTTCACAGCCCTGAGCATGAGGGCAGAATGGGGAGAGCACAGGTCGCAAAATTTTCCAATTCCCCCATTCCAGGGCAGGGTCACAGGTCTGGGCTCGGGTAGGAGGAGGGTGCTTGTTCCTACCTCCCCGCCTTGGCCCATGTCACTCCTGTCCTATCCTGCCTCTCTTTCCATCCAAATCTCACCTCCTCCAGCCTCTTGTTCACTGGCTCTACCTGCCTCTCTCTCTCTGCCTCCCCCCCGCCCCGAAGGTCGGCCAGGCCCTCTGATGTCCCCATGGGGGCCTGGAACACGATGGATTTGCACTGCCTGCGATGGCTAATGCTCTTCGCAGTCTTCACCTGGTTCTTCCAACCCCCGGGCAGCAGCTACAGAGGGCTACACGGAATGGTCTCCACACACTTCCCCTCTTTCCTCGTGACCAGCTACATGTAGCGTCCCCAACCCACTACCCAGGCCCTGGTGAGGTTCAGGCCCAAACGGAGCGCCCCGGGATGGCTGCGATCCCTCATCCAAAGGTCGCCGCTGGGTAGGGAGGGTGGGGACACTGGGGTCACCTGGGCGCCAGGGAGAGAAAGGGCTTCCCGCGCTCCCATTCCGGCTCCCAAGGGAGGATGGGGGGGACAGGGCCCCGGGATCGAGGGTCTGACGTCACTGGGCCCCCGGGTCCCGCGCGCGACAGAGGATGGGTACAGCAGGGTTTGAGGCGGGGGTGCGCAGGGAAGGTCACCCCGACTCTGCCCCTCGGCAACTAGGCGGGGTTCAGAGATGCACGGGCCCCCATCGTGGTCCCCGTCCCGTCCCTGTCCCC